ATCCATCCATCCATCCATCCATCCATCCATCCATCCATCCATGCAATCATCCATCCATCCATCCATCCCTCCCTCCCTCCATCCATCCATCCATCCAATCATCTATCTATCCATCCATCTAATCCCTCGTCCATCCATCCATCCATTCATTCATTCATCCATCCAATCATCCATCTAATCATCCATCCATCCATCCATCCATCCATCCATCCATCCATCCATCCAGCAGTGAACGTCTACTGTGGTGTGTTGGAAAGAAGGGAAGTGTGAGCCTGATCTTGCTCATGGGAAACTCACAACAGAGCATTAGGAGGAGACTCAGGATCTTACAGCCTTGAGGGAGATGACTCAGGCTAGAGGAAGTCAGGAGCTCAAAAACTAGCTGGGGAGCCAGGGACACACACATGGATTATAATTAGTAACTCTGCAAGGCTGGAAGTGATCAAGGGCCGACTGTGGGGTAGAGGAAGGAGAGAAGACTCTGGGCTTTGTTAGGCGGAAGAGCTTTCTGCAGGAGGCCAGGGCAGAGAAGTCAGCCCGATGAGGCTTTGGGAGGACCTGAAGCTGGAGATGGGATTTAATGGCCAGAGAGAAGGAGACAGCAGGCTTGTCATGTGGGCAAATACACGCAAGCTTGTAGAGTAATTCACCAGGCGGAGAGCTGAGGAGAGCACCCTGTTATGTTCCCCTAGCTCTGGCCTCACTGATCGAGAAGTGTCCCAAAGACAACAAGGACTGCAGCTCCTACGGCAGCTTCAGCGACGCGGTGCTGGAACTCTTCAAGCTCACCATCGGCCTGGGTGACCTGAACATCCAGCAGAACTCCAAGTATCCCATTCTCTTTCTGTTCCTGCTCATCACCTACGTCATCCTCACCTTCGTTCTGCTCCTCAACATGCTCATTGCCCTGATGGGCGAGACTGTGGAGAACGTCTCCAAGGAGAGCGAGCGTATCTGGCGCCTGCAGGTGAGTCTAGGTGGAGACCCCAGTGTGGGGGCCTCCATGGGATTCAGTTCAGCACATGGTCATTGACTACTGTCAGCACCAGTGGGTCTGTGGTGGGGCCTGAGAATCTGCACAAGCTGCTCAGTGTGTGGCCAGGATTGAGGAAGCCTTAGCCTAGGTTCTTTGAGTGTAGGGTCTACGAAGTGTGGCTGTGCAACAGCATGTGTAGAAAAACTCAGGCTTACAGGGGTGCTGTGTTCAGGGTTGACAGTGTGATTGATGGATGTTGAAGTATGACCTTAGGTTGTATTAAGAGGAGTACAGCGCCTAGGACAATGGAGGTGACAGTTCTGCTCTATTCTATCCTGGCCTGAACACTTCTTACGTGCTGAGGAAACCAATGCATAGGATGGGTCCCGAGGTGGTAACCAGGTTTGGGAGAGGACTGGAGACTGCCTCTTAAGAAATAGTTGTTGGCGGCCAGGCATGGTGGCTCACCCCTGTAATCTTAGTACTTTGGAAGGCCAAGGCGGGTGGATCACCTGAGGTCAAGAGTTTGAGACCAGCTTGGCCAACCTGGTGAAACCTCATCTCGACTAAAAATGCAAAAACTTGCCGGGTGTGGTAGTGGGCGCCTGTAATCCCAGCTACTCGGGAGGCTGAGGCAGGAGAATCGCTTGAACCCAGGAGGTGGAGGTTGCAGTGAGTGGAGATCGTGCCATTGCACTCCAGCCTGGGTGACAGAGCAAAAACTCTGCCTCAAAAAAAGAAAAAGAAATGCTTATTGGTAAAGGTGAGAGTGCCTTCAGATATCTACAGAGCAACCTGTGAAAGAGGGAGCAGACCCCTTCTGTGGTCCCAGAAGGCAGAGGTACATGGGGGTGCTACAGGGTAGAAGTTTCTCATTATTAAGGCCCTCCTTTTTTTTTTTTTTTTTGAGACAGGGTCTTGCTCTGTCGCCCAGGCTGGAGTGCAGTGGCGCGATATCAGCTCACTGCAACCTCTGCCTCCCCGGCTCAAGCGATTCTCCCACCTCAGCCTCCCAAATAGCTGGGATTACAGGCACACGCCACCACAGCTGGGTCATTTTTGTATTTTTTGTAAAGATGAGGTTTCACCATGTTGCCCAGGCTGCCCTCATACTCCTGAACTCAAAGCGATTCACCTGCCTCAGCCTCCCAAAGTGCTGGGATTACAGGTGTGAGCCACTGTACCTGGCCAAGGCCCTCTTAATTGGTTTGTTGATACTACTCAAGAGAGACTGGAAAAATTATGGCCAGGAAACAGCAGAGAGGTTCCAAGCCTGGGAGGGGGTGGGACTGAATGATGTTCGAATGGTCCTCTGCCATGGGATTCCAGGACCCCAGCCCTGTCAGATAGGAAGCTCCTGGGCTTTCAGAAATACTATTTATATCATGGAGTGTCGCTCTGTTGCCCAGGCTGGAGTGCAGTGGAGGGATCTCGGCTCACTGCAACCTTCAACCCCTGGGTTCAAGTGATTCTCCTGCCTCAGCCTCCTGAGTAGCTGGGATTATAGATGTCTGACGCAGGCCCAGCTAATTTTTGTGTTTTTAGTACAGACAGGGTTTCACCACGTTGGCCAGGCTGGTCTCGATCTCCTAACCTCAGGTGATCCACCCGCCTTGGCCTCCCAAAGTGTTAGGATTACAGGCATGGGCCACTGTGCCTGTCCTGCTTTTTTGTCTTTGAATTCTGTAGATCAGCCAAACCCTTCCGATCCGTTAAGCATGGGGCGAGGGGGGAGTGGGCTCACTGACGGTGTGTGTGCACTTGTGTGTGCTTGTGAGTGCGAGTGCCTACTCCTTAGACTTGCTTATGTCCCCAGAGAGCCAGGACCATCTTGGAGTTTGAGAAAATGTTACCAGAATGGCTGAGGAGCAGATTCCGGATGGGAGAGCTGTGCAGAGTGGCCGAGGAAGATTTCCGACTGTGTTTGCGGTAACAAAGGGGGAAGGGCCCTGGGGCGGTGGTCTTTGGGGTGGGTAGAGAGGGGCAGGTCAGTGACAAGATGTTAGAGAAACAGTGCCGCTGCTTGCTCACCATAACCACAGCTGCTGTCTCTTCCAGTGGCCTCCTCGGAAGAAGGAATTTGCTTTTGGGGTTGTAGGGCCCTGGGATGGGGGTTCCCGAGCTTCAGAAGAGAAAGAGAAGGAGACTGCCAACAGTGGCTCCCCTCTCTGCCTTTTTTTTTCTGTTTTTGAGACAGAGTTTTGCTCTTGTTGCCCGGGCTGGAGTACAATAGCACGATCTTGGCTCACTGCAACCTCTGCCTCCTGGGTTCAAGCAATTCTCCTGCTTCAGCCTCCTGAGTAGCTGGGATTACCGGCATGTACCACCCCACCCAGCTAATTTTGTATTTTTAGTAGAGGCAGAGTTTCACCACATTGGTCAGGCTGGTCTCGAACTCCTGACCTCAGGTCATCCACCCACCTCGGCCTCCCAAAGTGCTGGGATTACAGGCGTGAGCTACCACGCCCAGCCCCTCTCTCTGCCTTTTTGAAGGTGCCTCCACGGTCTCTCTCTGTTTGCTATCTGCTTTAGGGAAGATCTGCCTGCTTGGCACTCCTTTTCCTGCTGTTTACCTGTGTGAGTTCCTGTGACCCCGGGTGACTTGAGTCCCATTTTGCCCCTGGCAGATGGAAAGTGACACGGCTACTTTGACAGATCTCTGGCTTTTTGATTTTTTTTTTTTTTTTAAAGTCCTTACTTATCCCATGACCACCTTTCCCTTCCCCTCCCTTCCCTTCCCTCCCCTCCCCTCCC